TGCATATGCAGCTTTTTCTTTCTCCTATAAAAACCAATTTATTTGTGTCTTCAAACTGAGTAACCAATAAGCTTTAATGTTTCAGCTAAAAAACAGTGACAGATGGTCTATAAACACTGAACTTCTTGGAAGTCTTCAGCAATTTCACAGCTGCTAGAAGGGAAGTTTACAAACCAGAAGTTAGTTGGAGGGAAAGGAAGTGACAAGGTAGACAGAACCCTGGAAACCAGTGTCAGAATTCAATGTGACCTCCATCAATTGGGGAAACAGCCAGAAGCAAACAGAATTTACTACATCAGAGACAGGTGCCGCTCCAGAGAACAGACACAAGTTCCTTTGCACACAAAAGATGGAAGGCGACAGGTTCTGTGCAGGTTTTCAGTTAAAACATCTAGGCATTGGCAACAAGCTGAATTTTGTTTTTGTTTGTTTCTTTCTGTGTAGTCTATGCCATCACTCAAAAGTATAATTGCCATGCCTTATTGTGAGTGTAGGCTGAAGGAACAATGTACTAACATCTTAAGATTGCTTCCTGTTAGGGATGCTGATAAGGAGGACCCAATGAGGTCTCTCTAAATATCCAATATTACGTGGCTTTGAAAAAATATTTCTTACATTAGGTGAATCCAGTGAAGTATGAGGATTTAATTACTTGGTTATTCTTCCTTAGCAACACACACTTAGGGCTTGTCTCTCTTTCTGCTGTTTGTGAAGCATCAACCATCTTGCTCCATTTCCTACGTACATAAGGTATAAAAACACAAATGACAGTAAAAAAGAAAACTGAACTGTAGGTAGTGATTCTTTTTGTGGTATCAGCAAAAAAGGTTCATAATGACCAGAATAAGAAAACTATGAATTTTTGTTTGTGTCTAAAATTATTTTTACATATATTTGTGATTACAGTATAAGTGGTAGATGAATCTCCTATCATGACTATGTATCACTCCTGTAATTACAGATTAGTCACTGACCGTGACATGTACCAGTGTCTGAGGAAGCAGTCTTCCCTAAAAGCCAAGTGGCTGACACAGAATGTTGCTTCATGCAGCCAACATTTTATCCTAATACCTACTTCTATGGACAGCCATTGTGGTCAGCCCTTCAGCTTTAGTAGGACTTTAACAAAAAGAAACATAAATCAATAAAATGAAAAAAGGATCAACTTTAAAACTCAGTCTCTCTTTCTAGATTCATAGTTTCACTATCAAAAGTGTTGGAAAAGTAAATTCCAAAGTAAGAAAAATACTTGAATGAACCAGAAAGGAGTGATACACTGGGGAAGAGATAACCAGAGGATTATCCATGAAAGCGTTAATAGCTGTGCTAGAATTCATTTCTGCAACTCTTCCCTTCTATCATTTATCAGTTTCCCTTTACAGTCTATGCTTTCTTATAAGCTAAATGATAAACTAAAATATTGAGCCACCAGCTTCCTGCTTATACAGAATTTTTCCAAGTTTAATTGCTTCTTTATTGCATGGTCTAATTTTTCAATATAGGAAAATATTTTAGGTCATAAAGCAAAAGAATGAATATTTGTCATTTAGTATTCTTTCGTGCCTATGTTTAGTATATGTGCATATTTGTGTACATGAATGTGCTTGTGTGTGTGTGTGTGTGTGTGTGTGTGTGTGTGTGTGTGGTGTGCATGTGAAGACAGGCCAGAGGTGGACATCAGGTGTCTTCCTCTAACACTCTCCATCTTATTTTTGAGATGGTTTCACAGTGAACCTGGAGCTCACTGATTCAGCAAGACGCACTGACCAGTGAGCTCCAGGGACCCTCCTATATCCACTCCAACATTAGCAATACATGTGCACAGGCCCACACCTACCTTTTGATCTGTGTGCTAGGAATCCAAACTCAGGTCCTCAGATTTGCATGATTAGCACTTTACAAACCAAGTCATCTCCCAGGCCAATATTTTACACTTTAAGTTGTATAAAGCAAAATCAGAATGCTGCATACAAACATCTCTCCTCATTTTTCTCCTAATTAATCAATTTAGACAGTGTGTAATAATTAAGGAAAGTATTGAGTGATGCAGGCATATCTTACCTCCTTTTTATCTTTGAAGGAACAGAAATTCTTGAATGTTTTTCTGTTTTTGAGGTTTTTACACTAGCTTACTTAAAGTTACACCTTTCGTTTTCTATTTAAATACTTAGAATTGATTCAGAAAATTACCTTTTCTGTTGACTAGAAAATTTGTTTAACTAATAAATATTCTACAGCAGATATGATTTTTATTTAATTTGTTTTAAAAATGTTTTATAGAATAAATCCTTTGTAAAATAATCTTAAATTTTGTATAAAAACAAAATCATCAATGCTTAAGCTTTATGATCTTCCATTTTTGTCTGAAAGGCACTATAAAACTTTTTAACTTTAAAATATTATATCTATTATGTCTAATTCCTCAATGGAAAGTAATGTCCTGACATACCTGTTACCTGGTTGATAACAGCCCCCCCCCCCCATTGCACAGTGGAAGAACATTTAAACATATGTGTGGTGGAAATTCAGCAAGTGGGTGCTGAATACTTGGTGAAGCCTTTGTTGAGTTCTATGCTAATTCCTTGCAGAGCATACAGAAGGCAAAGACATGGCTTATTTAGCAAAAGAACTGATATTTTTCAAATCTAATGCAATGTCAGACTATAAGAGCCTTTAAATTAAGAGGTTTTCACTCTCTCAATTTTGTGGTTGAAAAATTTGTTAGTTGATTTAGAAAACATTAACATTACTAGTGCCAAGTATTCCCTTATTGCTTTTAAAACATTTCCTGTGAGTAGATAAATGTCTTGTTTTATTAACTCAATCTAGATTACTTTTATTTCCAGGTAATTGTATCTGTATGCCAATGTACAAAATAATACAGAGAGACCATGTATTCTTTATCTGATTTCTGTCAGTGTCTTGTGAAACTGTACTACAGTATGACAACAAGGATAATGATCTTAGAACACTCCACCAATCTTAGGTTTCTTCAGTTTTATTTGTACTTAACTACGTTTGTAAATATATTTAATTGCATGCAATTTCATTTTAAATTAGATTCATGTCCCCACCATCACAGCCAATATGCAGAAAATTTCATATTTCTATCACTGCAGGATGCTTCATGCTGCATCCACATCCACTTACCTCCCTTTTCTTTCCATCTTTTATCCCTGACAACCACTCATCTCTATCCATTTACATAATTATCCATTTAATAAACATTTATACATATATTAAATGGAATTACATAGTATGTAGCATTTGGAGATTGGCTTTTCTCTCTCAGTATAATCTTTAGAGATTTGGCTAGTTTTTAAAGTGTACAATGGTTTGATTTCTTTGGATTGCTGAGTACTCATCCATGGTACAAATATACTGAAGACTGTTTGACTATCAATCAGTTGAAAGACATTTAGGCTCTTTCCAGTGTGGGGCTCTTACAAACAGAGCTGCCATAAATTTTCATTTCCAAATCGTTTGTGTGAAAATGAATTTCAGTTTCTGGAAATGAATTTCTGGAATCAGTGTCCAAGAATTCAGTTGCTGGGTGGAATATCTTTCTAGTTTAATGAGAAACTTCAAAACTGGGTTCTAAGGTGATTGTTATTTCGCATTCCCACCAGTAAATCGTGAGAGATCCAGTTTGCTTATTCACTGACATTCAGTATTTTGATCACTTTTACTTTGTACATGTAGTGTTATCTCATTGTGGTTTCAAGCCATATTTCTTCAATGGCTAATAACCTTTCTTTTCATCAGTTAACTTGACATCACCTGTGCATATCCTTTTCCATGAAAGGTCTGTTTACAATGTTCCATCAGTTTCTAACTGGATCTTGTTTGGTTTTAGTGTTGACTTTTGTTGTTTAGTGATGACTTACAAAAGTCCTTTCTGTACTTTACATCCTAGACCTGTGTTGATTGACAACTATTCATAGTCTTGTTGATTATATTCTACCAGTCTATAGCTTATATATTCATTTTTCATATTTGAATTAATATACCTGGGTATTCAACCTGCTTCTTGCTACAATTTGTGCTTCTGTTTCTTCAGTCACATTTCCCTTCTCCATTTATCATAAATATATGCTTTCATGTATCATTTCCATGCATGGCCCATGTGTATTTAGTAGAATGATTCCTCTGATTTTCCATCTTGCTCAAATGATTTTGCAAGGTGGGAGGTTGTTACAAGTTATGCTAATAGTATGTTAGGAACTCAGATTATCTGACCACAAAAAATGAAACTTTGTTACTTCAATATGCCAAAGGTTGAACAACCAGTTGGAAAATGGAAAATGGAAATATATATATGCATATTGCTTGATAAAGTTGTACTTTATTTAAAATCTTTAAAAATAACTGATTTTTATGATATTTGTAAGGTCACCAAATTAGTATGCTTACTACGGTGTACTAATGAGTGATTATGCTTTACTTCAATTTAAATATTTTTCATAGAATTTTAAGAAATGTCAAAATCTTCTGTTGTGTCAACAACTGCTCTCCAAATGAGTGTTCTGTCATAAATGTTGCCTTTTTTATTTACTTTCATTGAAAAAAGCACAATGGTTTATGTGAATGAGGGACTGTTTTGTTTAATTTTGGCTTTCTTTTTCCATTCTGCCCCCTCCCCTTTTTTCTGGCTTTAGCTTTGTGTTTTATTTGTATGGATGGCAGTTATTTTATTTCTTTTCTTTTATTTGAATTTCAGTTTCTAGCAAGCACGGGAATATATTCTTGCATACACCTTGGGAAAGATAGCATCCTAAATGTGGCTTATCAACACTGTAAATTCTTTCTTTCCCACTGACTCGAATATGTGCATTGTTGGAAATGTATGTGCCAGTGGCATATTTTTTAGTCTAATTAGCTGCCTGCCTGTACTCAGGACTATGTCAACTGTTGTCATTCTAAATGTTTCCTTTCGTTTTTTCAAGCACATTTGCCTGATTGACCTTTCTTTTCTCTGTCTTTCTATGGGGCTGCTCCAGGAGCCATGGCTAATCATCTTATAAGCAATGCTCTGCTTCGTCCGCATGGTACTAACAATCCCTATAATACATTGCTTGGGGAACCGGCGGTCTGTAACAACCCTTCTGTCAGCATGTACAACGCACAAGGTGTGCTGGAGTTTATCTTAAATTTTTTCAACTGAGAGTCCCACTTTATGTAGCTTTTCTGGGCACATTCTATTTTCTTTTCTCCTCCCTTTTCTTTCTTTTGGAAGCAGACACACAGACTCCTTTCACATTCTTCCTCTCTGGGTGCTTTTATTTTCCATTTTCCTCAGGTTTTCCTTAGAAATAGATTCTTTCTGATAAACAAATGCCCGATTCATCATTGTGTGTTTGTTTTTCTGTACTGTTATGAAATGTATTGTGGTTTGTCAGTACTTCCCTGTTTTTATTTCTATATTAAATACCTGTGTACTGATTGTGAGAAATGAGATATTTGTCTAAGGTAAGTAAGATAAAGCAAGATTTGATTCAGTAGTCTTAATGCCATAAGATTGAGACCATAAATCTTTCCTTGTTAAATCATGAAGTTCATTCTGGCCATAAAGCATTAGTATTGATGAAAGCATTAGATTAACTCCAGGGGAGAGTCCACTGAACTAAGAAGTGGAGGAAAGAGCAGCAAGCTGGGCTGCAGCAGCCTCACTTCTCCTTGAACTTCCCCATCACCTATAGAAGCTGGTCCAGGCAAGCCACAAAGTTGCTTTTTCTACTGTGGCTTTGTGTGAAGATGGTTTCTCTGTACATCATCTTGCTTGAAAACTATGTAAAAAAAATGCCTCTCTCTCAAAATAATTCTTATAGCACAAATGTTTAGACTTGCTCTTTACCTTTTATTAGTATAAAAATTGTGTGTTGGGGGGGGCTGGAGAGATGGCTCAGTGGATAAGAGCACTGGCTGTTCTTGCAGAAAACCTGTGTCTGAATCCCAACACCCACATGGAAGCTAACAATCATCTATAGCTCCAATTCCAGGGGATCAGATGCTCTCTTCTGTTCTCTGTGGGCATTGCATGACACAGGTGCACTTACATACATGCAGGCATACCACTCATACACATAAAATAAAAATTAAAAAAAATTTAAGTATAAATATTTATTAGGGGCACAAAACATTTTTAAGTATCCTATATCTGTGTCTATAAGGATACCACAAAAATTATTCAAATAAAGGTTTCATAAAATAAAAATCCTAGCTAGTGATTCATTTATTTAAAATGATGTTTCTCAGAAAATTCAGCAGGAGTACAGACTTCTATGTTTCCTTAACACTGAATGTAATAGGTTAGCAAATTTGAATAAGATTTCTGTTATCCAGGGTGGGCATCTTTGGGAGTTTTTTGTTGTTGTTGTTTGGGTTTGTTTGGTTGATTGGTTTGGTCTTATTTTCTTTTCATCTGAGGTGAAGGATTAGTGGTATGACTATGTAAATTATTTCAAAACTACCAAAGTCATCCATTGAAAGATAACTTCAAGATGTTTGCCAATGCAACAAATAATTCCACAAACTTTAATTCCACAAAATTTCTTAAAATTTACATGTCTAAGAAGCACAGAATTTAAGAAACAAAGGAAGGCTGGAGATGACGAATACTCCATTGCTTTCTGTGAGCCTCCTCTTAATTATTCCAGTAGCGAGGCCCTTCCCACTTCAGGATCTCTGTATTTACTGTCAAAGTGCCCATTTGTTTTTGATATGCATACCTTTTTTTTTTTCTGGCTGTTGATACTTAGATTTGTCTATAGAGGGAAGAAAAGCAAAGCTTTCTTCTGCTTTCTCTTGATCATGCTTTAAATACTTGAAGCAACAAACTTGGATCACTTTGTTCTACCATTTCTGCAATGAAACAGAACTATTAATGTGAGACAGTTTGGTGGGCCCTTTTTCTTGGTCACCCACTCTACACTGTCTCTTCTCCATCAGGGTTCTATTCTATGATAGCACTCTGTGAACTGTACACTACACAGTATCCAAGGTGTGCTTTGGCAGAAGAGTTAGATAGACCTTGTTTTGGTTTGTTTTTTCTTTTTTTTCATAGGCTAAATGACAATTAAATGTGTCATTATAAACAATTTAAAGTATGAAGCCACATTAGTACATTTTGAATGACTTTAATTGAATACTTGCAGCATATCGGCAAATTAAACGTATTCAACATTATCCCTCTTACACAAGATGTTGGTAATTGTTTTTAAATAGCTAATTTGGAACATATTTTGTTTTCCTTTTTTTGATTTTATATACAATTTGTAATTTCTTATATGAAGAAAAACAATTATTAATTGAAATATTTTCCCTAATTCAATATCTGCCTTCCTATCTTAATCCCCAAATAGAGGACTTTTTAAAGGATGGAACACTTATGTAAAAAATTTTAAATCAGCCAGTTTTGGAGGTAAACCCCTGTAGTCCCAGCATCCAAGAGGCTAAGGCAGGATGATTGCACATCTGAAGCTATCCTGGGCTATATCAGTAGACAAAATATGTATGTGTGTGTATATATATATATATATATGTGTGTGTATATATGTATATATATAAATTTTCACAATGTGAAATTTAAATTAATACCATATGCTTATAGTGTTATTCTTATGGAATCTATTACTGGTTGTTATTAAAATTCTCAATAAATATGCAAAGACTTCATCTGGATGAATTTGTCTGTTATTTCAGTAAATTCAATAAATTCTGCTGACTTAAAAAAAAAAAAAACCCTAACTGAGGTAATTTCATTAATGTGAGTCAAAGGTAGAATTGTTCAGTTATTTTATGTTATAGTTCTTTTTAAGGTATTAAGGAGCTATAGTGATGCTTAAATAATTCTTTAAAACTAACCAAAAAAATCATGGTGATTGTCATATTGCTACTAATCTTATGCTTTCAGATGAATGCACTTATATACTTACTGGCAAGGTGAAATCTTACATGAGATATAGGTGGCTCGGTATGTACTGGAGTGGTTTATGTTGAATTGCCACTGAGTTTGCTCTGTGGATCCTCTTTTCAGTTTTCCCAATGTTATCCAGGCATTGAAACATTCAGATTTAAAGTTTCTATGCACATTTACAGTGCATTTATTGAAAATATGTAAAGATGTGTTCATAGTGTCACTGAAATATGTAGAGTTAGAAATAAAAATGAATAATACACTTTTGTTATACTGAATTTAGTGTCTATGTGTGAAAATACTTAAAACTTCAGGCATGGCATTTCTGCACCATTATCATCTTGTCAGTATTAGAAATTCAATTTTTATGGAGCTAAGTCTCATTGAAAAACCTGTCAACACAACATTATATAAAGAGGAAGTCATAATTTTATTAAAATAATTTTACATTTCAAAGTAATTTAGTTCAATTTTAAAACTTTAAAAGAGACATATACTCACAGGATGGGATGTGCAAAAGAATGCATTATATTTGATAAGAATGCAAAGTTATAAAGTATATATATCTCAATATTACATTATGCCTTCTAAGGCCTCTGGCAGAGAGAAACAGGAGACTGCAACAAAGCAGGGAGAAATCCAGGGCACCCTTTCGGCTTCTTGCTCTTCTAGATTAGCTGGGTGCTCTTAGATATTGCCCAGGCTCTGTTTCCTCATCCAAGCAGCCTACAAGCATTTATATCTGTTGGTAAGGAGCTTGGCTCTTTATTTTAAAATCTCATTCTAAATCAAAGTCAAAACCTTAAATGAGAGATCATCTATATTTTTAAATATTCTTTTGTAGGAAGCAAATCAATATTTAAATTATAAAAAGCATCCCTTTGGTCAGTGAATATGACCAGAGTGTGCATCTATTGAAAATGTCACAATGAAACTCATTAGTTTGTGCAGTTAGAATACACCAACAAAAATCTTAATGACAAAAGAAAAGACTGGTTGAATTATAAGTTAGAGTCCCTTGAAGTCATCTAGTCCAGTGATTTTACTGTCTTTTATTTGAGGATATTTTAACATTCCTCTAAACAAATCAGGAAGACATTTTCTTCTGATTAGTTAGCTTTTCTTTAAAAAATAATTTCTGCTGGTATTGTATTTTAAAATATCCACTCTTAAAATACTTTATTGAGTATGATGGTACCACAATCCAAAGGAAAACATCCTACTGTTGATAAATTTTTTTCTCCTACACATTTTGATGCAGAATAATAAATAAGTTTGATCTTTTGTCTCTGTAGTTAAACAGCTTCTGCACGAGCTCCAGAATTGACAGCCTTGATCCTTTTCATGCTTAAACAACACACCATTTGTATAGGTACAGTGGAGAAAAAGAATGATTGTATAGGGAAAGAGAACCTCCATAAGTTACACCAGAACACAGTTATGAAAACCTTCAACTCTGGTTTTCCTTTGGATTGTGACTTTAATTTCACTCACAAATTTAATTTATATGACATTCCTTATAAGTATCTTTACTTTAGCTTATAAGTAGATGCATACTAATATCACACACCT